CCAACATGGTGGAAATAGCAAGAGAACAAGGGTGGAACGTGAAGAGGTGACTCAACTACTGCCATCTCATGATAAAACTTTAACATGTGAGGAGTTGCTTTTTACGGATGAATGAAGAAAGTAGTTTCTTGAGATGAAATCTACTCCCAGTGAAGATGCTGTGAACACTGTGGAAATGACAGCAAAGGATGAGTTGATTAGGTAATGGCAGGATTTGAGAGATCTGACTCCAATTTATAAAGGAGTTCTACTGTAGGTAAAATACTATCAAGCAGCATTGCCTCCTACAGAGAAATCGTTCTTGAAAGGAAGAGTACATTAATGGAGCAAATTTCATTGTTGTCTTCTTTTAAGAAATTGCTACAGCCCTCCATGTAGTATTAGCTTGTTAAAAAGTAAATAAAAAAGAAAATAAATTGCCACAGCCACCCAACTTTCAGCAACCAGCACCCTGATCAGTCAGCAGCCATGTACATCCAGGCAAGACCCTCTACCAGCACAAAAGTTACAACTCACTGAAGGCTCAGATTATCTTTAGCATGTTTTAGCAATACAGTATTTTCCAATTAAGTTATGTACATTTTTTTGACATAATACTATTGCACAGTTAACAGATTGTAGTGTAGTGTAAACATCACTTTTATTTTATTTTTATTATTATTTAAAATTTTTTTTATTTCAATAGGTTTTTGGGGAACAGGTGGTATTTGGTTACACGAGTAAGTTCTTTAGTGGTGATTTGTGAGATTTTGGTGCACCCATCACCCGAGCAGTATACAATGAACCCAATTTGTAGTCTTTCATCCCTCAGCCTCCTCCCAACCTTTCCTCTGAGTCCTCAAAGTCCATTGTATCATTCTTATGCCTTTGCATCCACATAGCTTAGTTCCCACTTATGAGTGAGAACATACTATGAACATCACTTTTATATACACTAGGAAATAAAAAAATGTGTGTGACTTGCTTTACTGTGGTGGTCTGGAACAGTATATGCAATATCTATGATTTATGCCTGCATAAATTTATGAAGGAGACATGATTTAACATGTAAAAGTCCACCATCTGGCACCTCAAATTCATGTTCTCTCACATCTAAAATACATTCATCTCATCTCAACATCCTCGAAACTCTTAATTCTTTCCAGCATCAACTCTAAATCCCAAATCTCATTCAAATATCATCAAAATCAGGAAAGGGTGAGAGTCAGAGTATGTTGTATTCTGGGGCTAAATTATTTTCATCTGTGAACTTGTGAAACCAGACAAGACGTTATCTGCTTTCAAAACAGCATGAAGGTGCAGGCATAGGAGAAACACTCCCATTCCAAAATGGAGAAGATGGAAGGAGAGAAGGAGTCATGGGATCCAAGCAAGGTTTCAGACTTTAAGAGATTTTAAGGCTTCAGAATGGTCCTCTTTGGCTTGATGCCGTGTCCTCTGGGCCTAGTAGGGTGGCAGCTCTGCCCTCTTGGCCCTGAGTGTTAGCCCTGCTCCCTTACCCCTGGGCAGAAGCCCTGTTTTCTGAAATTGAGGAGGTGGCTCTGCCATCTGGAGCTCAGGAAGAGGCATCTGGATTCCTGTTCCCCAGGTCATTGCTGTCTGGGCCTATAGAGGCAGTGGCAGCTTGCCAACCTCTACATCTGTAGCTCTCCCATCAAAGTCACTCTTCCTTTATTTTGTCCCATTTCTGTTCCTTTCATTCCAGGCTGGCTGTGCTTCTTTTGGTATAAAATCCTCAAAACATGTTGGCCTCTGATGCAATTCATGGCGTCCATGCCAACAGTCCCTGGATCCTCCATAGATCTTTCCTGGATAAATGCATCTCCTTCCCTGCATTCTGCTGAGATGGTTGACTGGATCCATGACTCACATACCTCATCTCTTTAGCAATCAGTTGTCCCGCTACACCCTTGGCCCTAGTTCCAGAGCTTGCTATCTGGATAGGCTGAGAATCTTCTAAATAATCAAAGGCTGATTCCTTTTTGCTCAGCAATTCTGTCATTGATTTATTTCTCCTCCCTTGCATTTTGCAACCAGCAGCGAGGAGAAACCAGGCCACAACTTCCATACTTTGCTTAGAAATGTTCTTAGCTACATATGCAATTTCATCACTTACAAGTTCTACTCTGCATCTAAGAGAATGCAATCTAGCCAAATTCTCTGCCACTTTCTTACAAGGATTGTGTTTCCACATGTTTCCAATACCGTGTTCCCCATTCCTGTCTGAAAGCTCACCTTCAACATTCATATTTCTAGGAATATTCTGTTCATGATGATGGATGTATTCTCTGAGATGACAGAAACTTTCTCTATAGTTATATAAACACCCCCCCCCCCAATGCTAGAAACTCTCCTCCATTTGAATGACCTCCCGTAATGATGCATTCAGAGGAGAGAAGTGATCTGCTGGGAACTCTTAGAGCTTTCCAAACCGGGTCTACCTGTGCCTGCCCTGGCATTCATTCTCTGCCGCCCTTCTGCATACAATTGCTCCTAACTGAAGCCAGCTCCCCACCTCAGCTCAGGATCCCATACCTCCCACCTTCTCAGGGGCTTTGCTCCTGCAATGATCATTCTGTCTCCTGAACCACCAGCTGCTCCTTCTAAATGGGATCATTCCCCAACCTAAGGGGGGAACTTACCTCCTTCCCCCATGTCCTTCTATAGCTACTAACATATTTATCTGCTGCCCTTCAAAGTGAAACTGCGTGAACTTATACAACCCACTTCATTGGAGTCATTTTTCAAAATTATATAGAAAGGAAAATGAACCAGAACAGCCAAAACGATTCTGAACTATGACTTTGGGGAACTCACACTACCTAATATCAAGAGTCATGTTAATTCTATAGTAACCAGAACGTGGTACTGGGGAAAAATCAACAGATCAGAATGGAGTCCGGAAATAGGTTCACAGACATGATAAACTTATTTTCAAAAAAGGTGCAAAGGCAATGGAGAAATATTATCTTCCTGAGAAACTGTGTTGTTTTCCCCCTTGCTTCTTGGCCACTACATTCATTGTTCTTTACTATCGTGGGTCCGTTCCCCATGTTTCTCCTTTGCAGTTCAACTGCTCTTCTGTTTAACTGTCTGTCTGCCCCACTACAGTGTGGTGGCCTCCATGGGACATACCACGTGTGGCTCTTTGGTCTTCACATTTCCAGCATCCCAGATATTTCCTGCAACATGGCAGGCACCCGTGCATATATAAATGAAAAAAAAAAGCGTGTATAAATATATATATACACACACATATATATATATATATATATAATTTATTTGTCACAAAAGGTCTTTCTGAGACACATCCTCCACTCATGGTGACATGAGACTGTCCCTAGTGTTTCTGGATGCATAAGAATTGTAGGGCAAGAGAGGGAACAAAGCCTCTTAGTCCCTTTCCTTCTACTACAAACATCTTAGGGATGCGAGTCTGGGGACAGTGGGAAAACCCCGGCTGGCCTTGCATGTGCTTGACTCAGTATGCACACCCCTTGCTGCCCAAGTCCCTTGTTGTCCATGTGCCTTGCTGTCTGCCTTGTGTCCCTGCAGAGCTGTGCAAGGAGACATCGTGACTTCCTTCTGTGCTGCTGACTAGGAGTCAGCCGGTAGGTCCGAAGATCAGTCCTCCCAGGGTGGAAGTGGGAGAGAGTGTGAGGAGGAGCCCGCGGCGCAGTCTATGTCCTCCGATTGGGGAAGGTCCTTGAGGTTGCCATTCTTCTCCTAACAGGCGGCGACACAGCCATGGCCTTGCTATCGTGGGTGTCCCAGACGGGGGAGGAAGGAGGGCCATAGAGGGGAGGAGGACCTAGTGAACATGGAGTGAGCTTTGAAGGGGGAAACTATTTGTGGTATTTGAGTCCCGGAGGCATATGAAACCGCCCACAGAAGACACATTCCGAAGTCTTCAGGGGGAACCTGGGAGAAGGCAGAGGACTGCGCGGCGCGGGATGGGGTGGGGCGAGGAGGGGCGCCACAGCCCACTAGGCAGGCACCATCCTCACTGCGCATGTCCACTGGGCGTCTTCCCCTCTGCACCTTTGCCCATGTGGTAAACGCCCTGGAGCTGTGAGAGTGTGAGGGTCGCGTTCCTGCTGTCTGGACTTTTTCTGTCCTACTGAGACGCAGCCGGTAGGTCCACAAGCCATTCCTCCCAAGAGTTGAAGTGTGAGTGAGTGTGAGGAGGAGCCAGTGGCTATCCGGAGCGTGGGACAGCGTGGTCCACGGCCTCAGAGGCCGAAGGGTCTCAAGGTGCTCGTCCTTCTGCTCGTGAGGTGGCACTGCCGTGGGCCTTGTTGTGGTGAGGTCAGAATGAGGGAAGAAGGTGGGCCGCACAGTTGAGAGGGGTCAGGTGAAAATGGGGCGAGTGCTGGGGGTGCTGGGGCAGGTATCCGAGTCCCTGGAACCCTCGACCGAGGACAGATTCCAGGCTCCTTTGTGTCGACCCGGGAAGGAGCAGGGTGGGCATTAAGGAAGGGAACTGGGAACGCTGCGGGTTGGCGACCATGGCCCTGAGGTCTGTAGAGCGCCTGGCAGAGGTGTACAGTGAGGAGGGCCCAGCGCTGTGTGGCAGCTTCTCAACTCCACCGTGGAGGTTTGAGTTGGTGGGGCTCTGCGTTCCAACAAAACTTGATTTTAGGGGGGAAATGGGCCTAGCAAATGGGTGTGTGACAAAAGCCGTAGTTACTGCAGTTTTAATTCTCTGGCTGTATTTTCCCAAATGTCTCCACAGAGGAGAGTTAAGTTGTGAAACCAAACCTTATCGGAAATATCCTGTGTCTTTTGCCAGGAGCCTTAAGAAATTGCTCAGTTAGCTTGACCAACTTAATGGCTTCGCAAGCATTCAGAAGGCACACACACTTACACTTGCCCTGAGACTTAGTTCGAAAGTATTTACAAACTTTTAAAAAACGACAAGTTAACATTTGGTCATGGAAGTGGTCAAATATAGCTGTCTTTTCAAGTACATTTACCAATTTACAGTATTCTGCTTGCAGTGTGAAATATGATTTGGCGAGGAAGATCAACATATAGGCCTAGACCAAGGAGAAGTGTACCACCTCCTGAGCTGATTGGGCCTATGCTGGTGAGTGCCTTAACCTTTGATGTTTTCTATTAGCAGAAAGTTATTTTTGTAACTTGTTGTTGTTGCAAAACTGTTTTGTAATTGTTGTTGTACCAATATAGATACACCAATAAAGGTGTCCCATGCTGATAAAAATTATCATGGGGGCCTGGCGTGGTGGCTCAAGCCTGTAATCCCACCACTTTGGGAGGCCGAGACGGGCAGATCACGAGGTCAGGAGATCGAGACCACCCTGGCTAACACGGTGAAATCCCGTCTCTACTAAAAATACAAAAAAAAAAAAAAAAAAAAAAAATTAGCCGGGCGAGGTGGCAGGCACCTGTAAACCCAGCTACTCGGGAGGCTGAGGCAGGAGAATGGCGTGAACCGAGGGAGGCAGAGCTTGCAGTGAGCTGAGATCCGGCCACTGCCACTCCAGCCTGGGGCGCACGAGGAGGACTCCGTTTTAAAAAAAAAAAATTCATGGCATCTCATGAAGGGAAAGACCTAATCCAAGAGGGAGTAAGTTCTCTGTCTCGTTCTGGGTGGATGATCTTGTGTTCCAGAATTTTCGCCCTGTAGTTTTCCTTCTCATGCTTATTTGCAAAAGATGTACACACATTCATCCGTAACACTATTAAAAAGCTTCGAAACGCCCTTGAAGGGCAATGCTTAGAGTAACCTCTCTGTGGGAAGGAGTAACTGTACGAAAATAAGTATGTGGAATAGTGTTGGCAGAAATGTCTTTAGACTTATTGATCGGAAACATCTAAGTGTATTCTGTATATTTGATATTATTGAAATGTATTTTGATAAACACAACTTTTTATCTGCACCACGACAACACACCCCTCGTTCCGCAGGAGCCCAGTGCATGGAGGCCTCGCAGCAAGGGAACCACGTAACTGAAAGTCAGGATCCTAACACGCTGGTCAGGAGAGAGAGAAGATCAGGGTGCAGCTGAGATTCAAGGTACTGGGAGGGGAAAGAAAGAATGTTCTATGGAGGGAAGGAAGGAGCCTATGTGTGCCATCATGCCTTAATGCACGACCAGTAACAGGAGGAAAGAAAACATGGGAAAGGATCTCAAACATTTGCTGAGGAGTTGGCTGGGACAAGTGAAGAGCTATAGTTGCAGGCTTCATAGAGTCCCTGGATATAATGAATTTCTCCTACCTTTAAAATATATTTTGGGCCGGGCGCGGTGGCTCAGCCTGTTAATCCCAGCACTTTGGGGAGGGGCGAGACGGGTGGATTACGAGGGTCAGGAGATTGAGACATCCTGGCTAACACAGTGAAACCCCGTCTCTTCTAAAAATACAAAAAAACTAGCTGGGCGAGGTGGCGGGCGCCTATAGTCCCAGCTACTCGGGAGGCTGAGGCAGGAGGAATGGCGTGAAACCCGGGGAGCGGCGCTTGCGTGAGCTGAGATCCGGGCCACTGCACTCCAGCCTGGGCGACAGAGCAAGACTCCGTCTCAAAAGAAAAAAAAAAAAAAAAAAAAATATATATATATATTTTGTATGCTTGAAAATACAGTCCTTGCTAAATCAGATGAAACTGTTTAATTTGATGTACAAAAATGTACATTATTTCACTAGTTTACTTTGATCTTCTAAGAATGTTGTCTGATCTTCTTAGCCGAGGTGTCCACAGTATTGTATGTACCCTTTAATAGCATGTAGAATGCCAAGTCACCCTACCTTGTAACACCCTGAATAAAGCCCATTTGTATAAGGATGTTAGCCCTATTTTGTAAATAAGAAAACTGAGGCTCTGAAATGGAGGCTTACCAAGAACACTTGACTCATGGAGAAGGAATTCATATTTCATTCCAACGTTTATGTTCTCCCTACTATTCACATTAGAAAACGTGAATGATTTTGCTTGAAATGTTAATACTCGAATGTGTCTGTACTGTAAGGTACTTCAGTATTGGCTCAGGACAAAACAAAGTTCAGTGAAGCAGGATAGCAACTCCAGAAAAGACCTCAATGAATGACAGCCACTCTTTCCTTTGCTCTGTATTTTTGACAGTATGTTTGGTAAAATCTGGATAATTCAGGACATTGGCATACAGGTAGCTATATTAGTATGATTTTGAGGGGCTTTTAAAGAGTTGTTTATATACTTTTATAGTTAGAAAACTCAAAGTATGATAAGATTATCATGAAACAGAAATTATTTCTTCAACAGATAGCATTTTGAAGTTAAACATTGACAGAATTTGGGTAATGGATTACTTTAGCAATTCACTGTTAAGGGGTTTCCAGAATATGACTGTCAACAATGCCCATTAATTTTTTTTTCACTCAAGTTCCTGTACTCTTGTGGAAGACAGTGATTTTGCTGTTATATTTGTTACTTTTATGTGAATGGGATTCGTTTATGGAAAGTTACATATAGGGCCTTTGGACCTAAGGTTGACTAATTTTAACCAAAAAGTTTCCAAGTTACCTCAACAGGTAATGAGTGTCAGGACTGTAAGATTTGTCATAGGCTCACCAATACATTCACCTAATCTTTCAGAAAATTACGTTTGAGTTATGATTAAAATGCTATCCACTGGGCAGTCTTTAGGTTTCCTAGATAGCTGACACTCACTGTTTATAATACACAATGGTAAAGTATAGGAAATGTAAGTGTGGTGTGATTTTTCCTCAGATTGTCATTTAAGATAAGATTTCATAATACAGGAAAACAAAGGTGGGACATCTTTGCACCACATTTATTATCACAGTCGACTGCAGCCTTTTATTTCCTAACACTGAGGAAAATAATATTATCATTTCCTTATTTATCTTTCTTGTTTGCCTGCTTCAATTGATAACCTTTGTATTTTTTTTTATTATACTTTAAGTTCTAGGATACATGTGCACAACATGCAGTTTTGCTATATATGTATACATGTGCCATGTTGGTGTGCTGCACCCATTAACTTATCATTTATATTAGGTATATCTCCTAATGCTGTCCCTCTCCCCTCCCCCCACCCCACAACAGGCCCCAGTGTGTGATGTTCCCCTTCCTGTGTCAAAGTGTTCTGATTGTTCAGTTCCCACCTGTGAGTGAGACCATGCGGTGTTTGGTTTTCTGTTCTTGTGATAGTTTGCTAAGAATGATGGTTTCCAGCTTCATCCATGTCCCTACAAAGAACATGAACTCATCCTTTTTTATGGCTGCATAGTATTCCATGGTGTTTATGTGCCACATTTTCTTAATCCAGTCTCTCATTGATGGACATTTGGGTTGGTTCCAAGTCTTTGCTATTGTGAATAGTGCCACAATAAACATACGTGTGCATGTGTCTTTATAGCAGCATGATTTATAATTCTTTGGGTATATACCCAGTAATGGGATGGCTGAGTCAAATGGTATTTCTAGTTCTAGATCCTTGAGGAATTGCCACACTGTCTTCCACAATGGTTGAACTAGTTTACAGTCCCACCAACAGTGTAAAAGTGTTCCTCTTTCTCCACATCCTCTCCAGCTCCTGTTGTTTCCTGATTTTTAAATAATTGCCATTCTAACTGGTGTGAGATTGTATCTCGTGGTTTTGATTTGCATTTCTCTGATGACCAGTGATGATGAGCATTTTTTCATGTGTCTGTTGGCTGCATAAATGTCTTCTTTTGAGAAGTGTCTGTTCATATCGTTTGTCCACTTTTTGATGGGGTCGTTTTTTTCTTGTAAATTTGTTTGAGTTCTTTGTAGATTCTGGATATTAGCCCTTTGTCAGATGAGTAGATTGCAAAAATTTTCTCCCATTCTGTAGGTTTCCTGTTCACTCTGATGGTAGTTTCTTTTGCTGTGCAGAAGCTCTTTAGTTTAATTAGATCCCATTTGTCAATTTTGGCTTTTGTTGCCATTGCTTTTGGTGTTTTAGACATGAAGTCCTTGCCCATGCCTATGTCCTGAATGGTATTGCCTAGGTTTTCTTCTAGGATTTTTATGGTTTTAGGTCTAACATTTAAGTGTTTAATCCAGCTTGAATTAATTTTTGTATAAGGTGTAAGGAAGGGATCTAGTTTCAGCTTTCTACATATGACTAGCCAGTGTTCCCAGCACCATTTATTAAATAGGGAATCCTTTCCCTATTTCTTGTTTTTGTCAGGTTTGTCAAAGATCAGATGGTTGTAGATGTGTGGTATTATTTCTGAGGGCTCTGTTCTGTTCCATTGGTCTAGATCTCTGTTTTGGTGCCAGTACGATGGTGTTTTGGTTACTGTAGCCTTGTAGTATAGTTTGAAGTCAGGTAGCGTGATGCCTCCAGCTTTGTTCTTTTGGCTTAGGATTGCCTTGGCAATGCGGGCTCTTTTTTGGTTCCATATGCACTTTAAAATAGTTTTTTCCAATTCTGTGAAGAAAGTCATTGGTAGCTTGATGGGGATGGCATTGAAGTATGGCCATTTTCACAATATTGATTCTTCCTATCCTTGAGCATGGTATGTTCTTCCATTTGTTTGTGTCCTCTTTTATTTTGTTGAGCAGTTAACCTTTGTATTTTTAAGTGCTTGACCTGGAAGCTGATCTCCAGGAGCAATCTCAGTCAAAGACTGGGGATGAATGCGGAGATGGTCCTGATGACCAGGGGAAGATTCTGCCAAATTCAGAGGAATTTAAAATGCCAGAAGGAGGTATGCTACCCATTAAGATGCAAAATTATGTGCTTCCTGTTTTCCACAATATTTTACTTTTGATAATAAGAGAGAACATTACTACCCCCTTAAAATCAGAGTTCAAATGCAGACTTTCTTTGAAAGGTTGTTCAGACCCCAATTGCCTGACTGCAAGACTTAAACACTATCAGATACAGACACAAATTGGGTCAAAGCCATATTGAATCATCAAATATGAAAGTATATTCTTACTTCTGATTATACCTAACAACTAACAATTTTCAGATTTTTTTCTAATTTCTGATTTTAACAAATACATAATGCATTTGTAATACCAGTTTGTGTGAAATATCCTAGCACCTTAAGCAGATTCTAATACCAACTTTAACATTATTTGTGAGATTCTGGATTAATTCCATAAATTCTACAACCATCTTTGGTTGTAGAACACGGCTGTTATTGAAAATAGTAAATGCAAATCAGATGTATTAACATCTGTTTTATAGTTGATTTCTGCATCCTCATGTTCTGTTGGATAAAATACAAAGATACGATTTGTTTTTCATAACAATCAGTTTCACTCCAGTTCTAATATCTGAGTTGAGATATCATGGTTCCTAAGAAAATGAGCAGGCAACTTGCTTGATGAAAGTACCTTTTCCACATATTTTCCAAATTGATGACTGTCAATTAGAAGAGCTTCTGAATTTATAGGAAGCATTCCATGTTTGTGGAAGAAATTACCTAAATGTTTTTACTCTACACTGCTGAACCATTCAATTAGACTATTTATGTTGAAAGATAGTTTTCAATTATTTCCAGGAGCCCATTGAACAAGCCTTAATTGTATTCTTAGGAAGATAGTCTTAAATGAATATCTTGTTAAAATAGATAGAAAATTACACGAGAAAGGAAAATATTACAAAATGAAAATAATAAAGAGCAATAGAATAAATCTAAGGGAAAAGGAAAGAGGTACTTAATAAGAGACAGGTATGAATCATTAGTAAAAGGAAATGTAATCCAAAAGTAATACATTTAAAAGATTGTTCTTTTGAAAAATAGCTATGAATAGAGTAATAATTTGCACACTCTTAAAGAAAATGGAAAAAGCTCAACATGGAATACGAACAAGACCCTAACAGATACTGAATATATGGTAGAATCGAAAGTGAATACATTCTTGAACTTTAATATTTTCAAAATATGAATGAAGTGATTGATATTCTAGGAACACATACATTAGTTAATATATTACAGTAATACCTGAATATCTAAACATCACAAAGACTGTGGAAAAACTTCTGAAATTTCCCACTTATCCCTCAAAAACACTCAACTTTTAGAAACAAATATTTGGCTTTTCCAGATGTCTTACTGTCCTTTTCCATTTTCCTCTCCCTCCATTTCTTTTTTTTGCCCCACTCCTCATGATATATGCCTCTTTCCCATTTTGATGTCAAAAATAATAGTGATAGATTAAACCAAATCTGACCATGTAATTTATTTTACCAATGGAAATATTTTCAAGTTTAAAAAGAGGGACTCTTCGTATTGACATCAGGATGATAGGTAAAAATGTTGGACAAAAATGGTTACTGTACTGTACTATAATTTATTAAACCAATCCCATGTAATTAGACATTTAGCTTGTTTCTAATTACTTGATGTTCTAAGAGCCGTATTATTTCCAAGATTTCTGAAGAGTAACTTTTATTGCTTATTTTTAATTATAAAAATTATACATGTTTTGGTGAAGAGAAAAAAAAATGGTTACTGTACCTTAAAGAACACAGGTGGGTAAACTAGCCCCAAGCAACATTTTTGCACTTCTGCACAACAGAGAAAAAACAAATGCAGTACTGGCCTTTCAATTCACTGCACTTACGCAGTTCCTAATGTGACATAAACTGTTTCCCAGGAACTTGTTGAACATCCAGAGTATTATTTCAAGGCAAAATATTATATTACATTATACATTGTTTGTAAATTCCTTTTGTTTCTTAGGTTTGTTGTGTGTTGGTTATGTTTTTATTAAAACTGTACACAGTGTTTGCTTTTCACTTTGGGCCACCTTTTAATAGGTTCACTTGATTTAAAGCGTTTTGAAGTTAAACAGTTTTGGTTCCCTTGAACTACAGAAAACAAGGTGTTTTAAAAATGTTGCTAATGTATATGCTTGGAAGCCTATCTTCAAAGTCTCTACAGAGGTCTAACTGAATGTTAGCCATCGGGTTACTCTTAGGCTTCTGGTTTTAGTCCATGGTATAAAACCAAAACTTTGGTGTCCTTCATATACCTTTAATGTCATCTGAATATAGTTCTGCTACTAATATTCCCTCCTGTTATGTTTCTATTATAGGTGACAAGCAACCACAGGTTTAAATGAAGACAAGCTGAAACAACACAAACTGTTTCTATCTAAGATATTTGACTTAAAAATATTGAAATAAACTTTTGCTGCTTTCTCCAAATAAGTCTTGCACATTTTTTTGTTCATTTTATTCCCAAATATTTGATACTATTGAAAATGGTGGCCAGGTGTGGTGGCTCAAGCCTGTAATCACAGCACTTTGGGATGCTGAGGCAGGAGGATTTCTTGAGCTCGGGAAACTGACACCAGCTTGGGCAACATAGTGAGACCCCCTCTCTGCAAAATAAATGAATGAGTGCATGAATGTATGCATGTATATATGTAGCTTCAGTCCCAGCTACTTCTGAGGCTACATTGAGAGGATCCCTTGAACTCAGGAGGTCGAGGATGTGGGTAGTTATGTTCAGGCCACTGCAACTCCAGCCTGGGTGACAGAGTGAGACTGCTTGAAAAAAAAAAGGAAAAGTATCATTTTTGAAATTTTGTATTCTGATTACAAACCTTCAGGAAAGGGAGAAGGGCTGAAGGTTAAGTTGATTACCAATAGCCAGCCAGTGGTTTAATCAATCACACCTGCATCATGGAAATCTCCATGAAAACCCAAAAAGACAGGGTTCAGAGAGCTTCTGGATAGCCCCGCACATGGAGGACAGCATTTCCACAGGGGGCATGGCTCCCTGCCCCTTAACCCATTCCTTATCCTATGCATCTCTTTAACTGGATCCTTTCTAATATCCTGTTTAAATCAACCCATAAATGTATATGTTTCACTGAGTCGTGAGATGCTTTAGTAAATTAATTGAACTTGAGTAGGAGTCATGGGAAATTCAGTTTATAGCTGGTGGGTCAGAAACACAGTAAAACAATTTAGGGCTCATGGAAATTGGCAGGGTCCTCTTGCGGGACTGAGCCCTCAACCTATGCAATCTGATGCTATCTCCAGGTAGATCCTATTGGAGTTGAATGAGAGGATACCCAGCTGGTGTATGCCGCAAAACTGTTTGCTTGCTTGGTGTGTGGAGAAAAGCCCCCACATATCTGGTCACAGAAGTCTTTGATGTTACTGGTTGTAGGGCAAGAACAGAGAAAACACTTTTTTCTTCCATTCAACCAACAGGTATCATGTTTGTATATTGTTTTTCTATGCAGTAAACTTGCTAAATATCCTTATTCCAAATTTATCTCTAGATCCTTTCTGATTTTCAACACACGCAATCATATCATCTTTGAATAACAACAGCTTGTTTTTGACATTTCAAACAGTATCCTTTTTCCTTTTTCCTATTCTACGACATTGGACAGGCCCACCCAATACAATGCTGATTAGAACCAGTAATTGTGGCCATTTTTCTCATATGCCTAGTAGGCACTGGAAATTTTTTTTTTTTTTTTAACATCTTACCATGCTTGCTATGCTTTTAAAAATAGATCTATTTTATTAGAATAGGAAACTCCATTCTATTTTCCATTTGTTAAGACTATTTATCTTGAATATATGTTGAGTTTCATGAAGCACTTGTAATGCATCCATGTAGATGATTACAGGACTTTTTCCTTTATTAATCTGTTAACATTGTGAATTACATTGGTAAGTTGCTATGTTTAAACCAACGTTGCATTCCTAGGGGGAACATTGGGTCATGACACATTATCCTTTTTGACGAATCTATGTATTACTAATTTGTTTAGGATTTGTATGTGTGTTCTCAGAAGTGACATTAGCCTATATTCTTATTTTATGTAGAGATGCTCCTCAAGTTATCATAGAATTATGTCCCAATAAATCGATCATATATTGAAAATTTTTTAAGTTGAAAATGCATTCAGTACACCTAACTTAGCAAACATCATAGCTTAGCTTAGCCTACCTTAAACGTACCCAGCATACTTACATTAGCCTACGGTTGTGCAAAATCATCTAACACACAGTCTATTTTATCATAACTTTGAATATCTCATGTAATTTATTGAATACTATCCTGGAAGTGAAAAATATAATGGCTATATGGTTAATCGAAGTACTTTTTCCACTGAACGCATTTCTTTTATCTGCCTTCATAAAGCCAAATACTTTTAAGCGGAGGCATCGTAAGTCGTGGCTGTCTGTATTCTCTTTGTTGGACTTTGGTATCTAGGTTACACTAGCTTCATGAAATGAATTGGGATATAAGTCCTCTTTCTTTCTTTCTTTCTTTTCTTTTCTTTTTTTTTTTTTTTTGAGACGGAATCTCGCTCTGTCGCCCGGGCTGGAATGCAGTGGCGCGATCTCGGCTCACTGCAAGCTGCGCCTCCTGGGTATAAGTCCTCTTTCTATTCTCTGGAACTGAAATCTCTGCAAGACTGAATAACTTGGGGATAGGCTTTGCCATGTTCTTTTGTTTCTAGATTGAATCTCCTTTTTACCTTTGGACCCTACTTAAAGACGGAAGGAGCAGATCTAGGTTCCTATGCCTTTGAACTTTATAAGGTGGCCATCTTTCCTCCAATGATCCCTCTAATGATGCTGTCACTCTGAGAACTACCTGCTCCTTTTTTTTTTTGTACTGATATTAACCCCTGTACACAGAAAGTTAAAAGTTGCCATTCTATTAATTTGCCTACATAAGATTTTTAAGAGATGGGTTCTTGCTATGTTGCCCAGGCTGATCTTAAACTCCTGGGCTCAAGTGATCATCCCTCCTTGGCCTCCAAATGTCCTGGGATAATAGGTGAGAGCCACCATGCCAGGCCTGCCTACATGATTTTGATCTGTGGTATGTGACTGTGAATGGGTTGACTAACCAAAGCTGTGTATAGTTACAACAATAGCTACATTTATTGAGTTCTTTAAGAAAAACAGGAATAATAATAACTTGCATTTATGGAGTATGTGTTATCCATTAGCCACTTCTCTGAGCTACGTTTCGTTTTTTTCTGACCTCATTTAATCCTTTAAAAAGGTGAGTCAGAGTTTTCATAAAATTTACAATAAATGACTCTAGTAAAAAGCAGATATGGGGATTCAAGTTCTAAGTTCACAGTCTGCGCTTTCTCAAAGCAAATGCTTCTGACAGCATTGAATGTAGAACTGGTGTTGCATATACTGACTTCAGTGGTAATCTCATTTTTATATAAATCTGTGGTAATATATAAAATATATATATTTTTTCATTGTTCAAGATAAAAGGCTTTGTTCTTTTCTTGAAGGAAGTGTTTCCCAAAATATGGCACGTAGAGCTAACAGGCGTTTCGAGATGAAACCATTGGTACAAAAACATTTAAAAAAGTAATGATAACATACCTATTTTACGGTGCTACAGAACAATATAACTTGAATACTAAAGTCTTTTGGAATAGTTTGTGGGAACACGGAGAGAAGAACTGATGCCTCAATCCCTATGGAAAATGCCACGACATCTCCTGCAAACACATTTGACCTTTCTTTAAAAGTTATTAAGAGCCAGGGAGGGAGAAGCACCAAACCTCATTTTTTTTTTTTGAAAAGCGCATACATTTATTTAATATAAGTTTTACATAGGGAAAGGAAAACACAAAGAAACAGGAAAACTTGTGTATATTTATTCTAGGTTTGATGGAGAAGTGGATAGTGATGGAAAAGTATGTTGGATAAAAATGCATGATCTGATGATAGTTAATTGGGGAGAACTCAGCTATGCCTGTTTGTTCAGATTGCTGTCAATGACCTTGTGTTTCTAGAGATATACAGATGTCCATTTCCTCTGGGCATAGAGACAGCACCTGTCAAATGAGGGTTTTATGACCTGCTTCAGGAGAGAAGAATTGGGGGAAGGTGAGAGTTACCTTCCTGTTTCTGCTGTTTTCTAAATACCCCCATATTCTGGGGTAGTGTGTCCTGAACCCCATCACTCAAAAGTTACCACTGGTTTTATATCTCTGTATGATATATTCCAAGCTTTTCAACATGACATACAAAATTTTCTCTCTTTCCCACCCTCCTGTGATCTTTCTAGTTTCAATCACCACCACTTTCCACCTTTCATTTTGCATTCTATTGTCAAGTACTGCTCATACTTCTCATCCACGCACAATGCTATTTTATTCCTCCCTGTCTGTATATATATCGTCTTCTCTGCCTAGAATGTGCTTACCCCTCTTTCTTTACTTGAGTAACTCCCATTTACTCTCCCTTACTCTGCTCAGGTCTTATCTTCTCTATGAAGCCGCCTTTAATGTACTTGGACTGCTAAGCTTTCTCTTTTGTATTTCTAAAAGAAATCCTGCTTCCCACTTTAAATCATTTTTATTTATTTTATTTAAATTTTAATTTTTAAAATTATACTTTAAGTTCTAGGGTACATGTGCACAACGTGCAGGTTTGTTTCATATGTATACATGTGCCATGTTGGTGTGCTGCACCCATTAACTTGTCATTTACATTAGGTATATCTCCTAATGCTATCCCTCCCCCCTACCCCCTCCCCACAATAGGACCCAGTGTGTGATGATCCCCTTCCTGTGTCCAAGTGATCTCATTGTTCAATTCCCACCTATGAGTGAGAACATGCGGTATTTGGTTTTCTGTTCTTGTGATAGTTTGCTGAGAATGATAGTTTCCAGCTGCACCCATGTCCCTACAAAGGACACGAACTCATCCTTTTTTATGGTTGCATGGTATTCCATGGTGTATATGTGCCACATTTTCTTAATCCAGTCTGTCATTGATGGACATTTGGGTTGATTCCAAGTCTTTGCTATTGTGAATAGTGCCGCAATAAACATACGTGTGCATGTGTCTTTATAGCCGTATGACTTATAATCCTTTGGGTATATCCCCAGTAATGGGATGGCTGGGTCAAATGGTATTTCTAGTTCTAGATCCTTGAGGAATAGTTCTGGGATACACGTGCAGAATGTGCAGATTTGTTATGTAGGTGTACATGTGCCATGTGGTTTGCTGCACCTATCACCCTGTCATCTAGATTTTAATCTCTGCATGCATTAGGTATCTGTCCTAATGCTCTCCTTCTCCTTGCCCCCAACCCCTCAACAGGCCCCGGTGTG